TCTTACAAGATACTTTTTTGGATTTTTTTGTAGTTTTTTCTCATACAAGCTGTTTTTTCATATCTTACAAGCTAGTTCCAGGTTTCTGCTGCACGCCCCCAGCTATCACATGGATTCTACCACCAGTACAGTTGATTTAACATAATGAAAGGTTGATTAGCCAAACCAGGCACTGAATGATAATTACAAATCATACCAGGCTTCCTCAAGCAGAGGTTTGGAATGGATTAATCGAACAAAATCAGTACCGTATTGTATTAATGGTATTTATATTTATTTTAATATTAGTGTTTTTTTCTGAGCAAATAAATATTTTTTGCTCTTATATAGTAAAAACATATTTTTAAGGAAAATTAGACAAAAGCTTCAACAACAAAATACAATATCAGGTGTTTCAGTATTTAGTGTGTCCACTCTTTGCCTTTATTATAGCTTCTATGCATTTCAGGAAACTCGCTTTCAGTAATGCCAAACACAGTTCAGTGATGTTGAGGTCTGGACTCTGGGGTGGTCAGTCCATTATTCTGAGAACACCAGCAGTTTCTTTGTTTGATCTGCATCCTTTCAGACCCATAGAGCTTAAGTGGTGCTTGATTTTCTCCTCTCTCTTAAAGATGAAAGCTTTAAGTGCTGTTTATCTGATGGGGACAGTTTCGGTGGTCTACCAGGACTTCCAGGTGGTTGTTAGGAGTCCTTATTGTTACACTTTGACCTTCCTCTTCGTTATCCAGATGGATTCTCTTATATATAACCTCCTGAAAATGAATAACTAGTACTTAATGGCTGTTTCGACTGGAACAGGGACTGGAACTGCCTGACCCCGCGTCCTGACACTGGATAAAAACAAGTGTGTTTGTGTGTGTATACATGCACTAAGAGCAAAGGCCCACACAGACTACTGACTCCACTAGAGATGAAGAGCCATTAGAACCGTGCGGTAATTACCATCTTAATGATTACCGCAGCTCACACACTCTTTCGCTGACACGGTAGCTAAACCAACCCAGCATCCAGCTGCATTATCCCCACGACCCACACACTCATATAAACACTTGTTACCTGAAAACACTAATATCCTGAAATACTTACAAAGCCCTAACACACACACACACACACACACTGAATGCAAATTAGCACCGTTAAACAGAGTTTAAAATATTATTCATAATCCTGCTTAGTGCAATGAATTACCTACCAAGATTATATGATAATTACGGTCCTATTTATGCAAGATTTCATTTAACAAACTGGTAGGGTGCCATTGTGGCAGGTGTCTTGTGTTTATTTGATACAAGTTTTAATATTTCAAATAAAACCAAGAGGCTTGTTTAAACAAATACAGTGGTAGGAAAAAGTATTTAACCCTTTGGAAACTGAGTAATACAGGGAGATTTACTCGAAAGAGGCACCGAAAGTTCTGTTGTAACTCCCATTAGGATGAACTGATCTGAACCAAAAAATAGCCTACGTACCCTGACGTATGTGTAATCGATTGCATTACATGTTCCTGAACGTATCGGCAAGCATTAGAGAGGTTAAACGTCGTGACGGCTGTCCGGCGCCTACCTCATCGCTCCGACATCCGGGCATGTTCGAAGCTCCAAACTGAGGAGCACATTGCACGTTGTTTTGTTCAGATTGCTTCATCCTAGCGAGAGTTATTACAGAATATTTGGAGCCTATTTCGAGTGAATCTCCCTGTATCTCAGAGAGATATCACAACATGGCCAAAAACATGTGTCTGATTATGTGTACGCTAGTGGCAAACTGTCTTCTGGGCTCATGAAACTGGAGTTGAATTGTCCGGGGAAAATAGTGTAAACAGCGGGCAGCACTTTACAAATTGGTCATTTACAAAGATACGGTAAGATTACAGTAAACAGTTGTACTAACCTAAAAATCACATGTTAATATTTTAGTTCTAATATAAGTAAATAAGTTAGTAATTATAGTGGTAACAAGTTAGTAATGAAATGAATATCCATATTATTAGCCACTTATTAATGATCTGTAAAGTTGTACTAAAATGGCCCTGCATACCACAGTCAAATCATCATCCCAACAGTGAAGCATGGTGGAGGCAGGATCATGATTTGGGGCTGCTTTGCTGCATGTGGGCCTGGACTGACTGCCATCATTGAGGGAAAAATGAGTTCTCAAGTTTATCAAGGTCCTACAGGATCATGTCAGGCTGGCCGTCCATTCAGTAGAAGCTGGGTAAAGCAGCAGGACAATGACACTAAACATCAAAGTAAATCTTCTACAGAATACTTTCAATAAACATAAAATCCACCTTTTGGAGTGACCCAGACCTTAACCTTAAAGAGATGCTGTGGAATGGCTCCTCACAGCAGACATCTGGAGAATATGGCTGAGCTGGAGCAGTTCGGTGAGAAGGATGGACCAACATTCATTGTGCAGGTCTGATCTGAAGCACTTGCTTGAGGTTATTGCTGGCAAAAAAAAGGTTCGGCAAGTTATGAAATCCAGTGATTCACTTTTTTTCACTGTGAATGTTTGATTGGTGTGTATAGTAAGTATATGAAATATTATTATTTATTTATTTATTTTTGTGTGTTATTAGCTTTAGCACATTGTCTCTACTCGACTGACTTAAAAAACAATCACATTTTATGACCAATTCATGCAGAAAACTAGATAATTCCAAAGGGTTCACATACTTTGCCACTGTATATTTACCAGATTTAAGATATTTTTCCCTGCCAACTCACATTCTGCGAGGAAGCTTCGCCACAATGCCGTTTGCAGTTGATATTATTTAAACAGGTCATAGCAAATCAGTCGCAAAACCAGAGAAGTCTGCACTTGCTACAATTTAGTGTACGCTAAAGGTTTTACAGGCTCATTAGTAAATTCGGCCCAAGGAACAACCATAAAGCAGGCGAACAAAGACTGTAAACTAAGGCCAGTTAAAATGAAGCGCTGGAGTAAATCACAGTGCAGTGTTTTCAGAGTGTTTCCAAATATCTGTTTAGAATTTAAACAGGTTTACAGATGATTCCTGCATTTAGAGCTGTGAATAAGTGTTCCCAATCAGGATCCGCTGAAGCAGCACTGGCTGTTATTTTTCAAAAGGTTTTTTTTTTTTGTTTTTTACTTTACAGTGCACTAAAACCAGGCAGCGGTTCTTGATCGCAGCATTAAAGCTGTTTAATGCGCCCGTGCTGTTTGGTAATTAAAGTGAATCACGGCGCTATAACAGCTGTCTGACCGTGAGCTCGTCACTCGCGTCTTCAGAAATTTGCTCTTTACTAATGTCGCACTCAAAAAAGAGAGTGATTTCTGTGTACAGCTAATTAGACACAAGCAGACTTGTGAATGCACCTGTTTGGACTCCTGGAGAGCGACGGTGAAGCGCTTCACCAAATCACCAGGTTAGCCACACATATACGCTCACGGCTTTGTTTGTTTCTGTTTATGATTTAATTGCTTTGACCCCGAACCCATTTACACTCACCTAATGATCGCCACAGCGTTTACGTTCACTCTGATACCCCGAGGACGCGCGAGTGTTTGTGAGCATCAGGCTTTGGGTCGCAGGTTAATTGTGCCGGTGTTTTTGTGTCGATGTTTTAGTGCATTAAAGCTTCCCTACTTAAGGTATGTGAGGCCTCTGTCTGTCCGTCTGTCTGTCTGTATGTCTGTCTATTCTATCTATCTATTCTATCTATCTGTCTGTCTGTCTGATGGTCTATATGTCTGACTGTCTCTCTGTCCTCTCTATCTATATCTGTCTGTCTATCTATCTATCTATCTATCTATCTATCTATCTGTCTGTCTGTCTGTCTGTCTGTCTGTCAATCTGTCTGTCTGTCTTTTTGCATATTTGTCACACGTAATTGTTTCAGATCTTCAAACTAAATAGAATAAAGGACAAAACAAAAATAAAATGAATGAAATAAATGAATGTTTAATTTACTAATGGAAAAAGTTATGCAATGCCAGCTGGTTCAGTGTGAAAAAGTATTCACCCAGTAGTCACTCAGTCAACTTATTTTTTAATTTAGTTCATAATTTGGATCAGAATTTTGCAAAAGCTATGCCACAATTTGTTTTTTTGTTTTATTTTTTATCCACTATGCTAAAAGCAAATAAATAGAAACTACATACTAAAGTTTTGAAGAAAAGGGCCATGTTTAGATGTTCTCTGTAGAGGATGTCTTATTTTTAAATCAGCAAAACGTAAACATTCGACAAGGGCTGTTTACGCTTTTGCATACAACTGTGCATGTATTCATGAGACAGCATTTCTCCAAGCAACGTGAGGTTTTATGTTTTTGAGTATTGAAGGTTCTCCGTCTGCTCCTCCTTCTGCCGTGCTGTGGCTGTTGTGCTCTCAGAGGAGGGACTGTATCACGCTATCAGAGCTTGACCGAGTTCATAAAAGCATCGCATCTAAATGATCTCTGGAGAAACTGCTGCTTGTTTGACTAAACTGCAGTGACGGCATTTCAAAGTGTCCACGATAATATTACCAATATTCTGAATAATTACCGAATACAGCACATCTCTGCTTCACAGCTTTTAACTGGAAGGCACTGTTGAACTGGTTATTCTCAGAAACATGGCAAGTACCGGGACTCTGTGCTGTGTACCCTGTAGAGCTCCAATCATATACTAAATTATAAAAATATATTATTTATGTCTGCATGGTGATTGATGCTCATATATTAATGGACATGGTGTGAGGTGGTTTTGAGAGAGTGACTCAGTTGTTTTGGGTTTATTTGTTTGTTTTTGGTCACTGAGTAATTCTATGTGTGTTACTTCGTAATTTTGATGACCTTTTAAATTGTCTTCTATTATTGTGGAATATGAGTCATAAAAAATAAATACATGTGACTTCAAACCTTTGATACTGGTACTGTGGTACTGTATTTGTAGTAGGTTGAACTGTAGGCAGCTGTTTAATGAACTTGGATCTCTCTCTCTCTCTCTCTCTCTCTCTCTCTCTCTCTCTCTCTCTCTCTCTCTCTCAGGCCTACGTTTCGTTACTTTACATGGCACACGTGTGTGTTGGGGATCGTGGGCTGTGGGGTGATGATGTTCCTGATAAACCCCATTTATGCTTCAGCCAGCATCGTCTTCATGCTCCTACTGCTGCTGATCATCCACTACCTCAGCCCCACCAGCAGCTGGGGATACATCAGCCAAGCGCTCATATTCCACCAGGTACACACACACACAGCACTTTGAGTTTTTTCATGATACATGTTGTAGGGAGTGGGCTTTACATACAAGAAATATAAATGCTGCATTATCATTAATAACATATTTATTAAAGAAATAAGGCTGTATTTGAATGAGAGGTTTACAGTCATGGGGTCTGTGGTAGTAACATACAGCACACTGCAGCTGGGCTTCAGCCTGGGCTACTACGGAATGGTTTGAAGGGTTAAACTAGGAGATCAGCATTTAAACAATTGAGAGGCATTAATAATTTATTGTGTTAACACATTATTAATGTGTTAAATCGTTCTTATATAAATGCACAACATACCAATAATTAAAATACAAAAAAATAATAATTATGTGCCTTTCGTGTTCACACACACACACACACACACATAAATACAAACTCATGTCACGTTCAGGCCTGACCACTGGACTGTACCCCTCCCTCAGGGGGGCTTGTGGTTGCCAGGAGGGACGGACTGTTGCCAGGGGAACGGTTGCCAGGCGGCCAGGCACCAGCCGCCCATCTGAGCGGCGGTGTGCTCCAGCAGAATTACAGCCACTTAACTTATTACACACACACACACAGCAAAATAGTCACAGTAGTACACTTACAAGGACTAATGTACACAAACATACTTTCTACTTTGTGTCTTTCTCTGACTCTCTCACAGTAAATTAAATAGTTCCAGTAATATATAAACTCTTCTTCATTTCTGTTTCTTATGAAACTATATGTATGTGTGTATATGTAGGTTTGTTTCCCCTGCTGGCAGGGAGAGAACTCTTTAGTCATCCAGCTCGTGACCCAGTCAAATTCTCTGCAAAGGTATCTGATTTATAGTCCAGTCAAACACTGCTGTCAAGGTGTAAAGTTTCCCACTCGTGGCCCAGTCAAACTCAGTCAATGTGGAGAACAGCATCCCAATTCACAGCCCAGTCAAACTCTAATTCCAAGGTGAAGAGTCTCCTGGCTTGTGTCCCAGTCATGCTCTGTTTCTGCAGATAAATATATGTCCCAGCTCGCAGTCCAGACAAACTGCTTCCAAGGTGAAGAGTCTCATGGCTTGCACTCCAGGCAAAAAACACTACTGTGGCGAAAAGTTTCTTGCTTCACAACTAAGTCTACTGCAGTGAATTGTGCCCTGTTTGTGGCCCCGTCAAACTCTGCTACCATGGTCAGACGTGTCCCACTTCACAGCCTGGTCAAACTATGTCACTGCAGTGAAATGTTCCCCTTTCACCAACCAATTACACCTTGCTACTTTGGTGAAAAGTGTCTTGGTTCATGGCCAGACGAACTCCTTTACTGCAGTGAAACGTGCCAGTTCATGGCCCAGTCAAACTCTGTTACCATGGTCAGAAGTGTTGCGGCTATGGTACCGCAGTGAAAACTGTCCTAGTTCACAGCCCAGTAACATTCTGCTACTGTGGTGACAAGAGCCTCAGTTCATGGCCCAGTCAGTTTCCTCTACCTGCAGTGAGGCATGTCAACACAGCTCAGTCAAACATTGTTACCATGGTCAAAAGTGTCCGGTTTGTAGCCTGGTCAAACTGTGTTGCAGCAGTGAAAAGTTTCCCTTTCACCGCCCAGTTACAGTTTGCTAATGTGGTGAAAAGGATCTTGGTTCATACATAGGCAAACTCCTCTACTGCAGTGAAACGTCACAGTTCATGGCCCAGTCAAACTCTGTTGCCATGATCAGAAGTGTCTGGTTTGCAGCCCAGGCAAACTATGTTACCGCAGTGAAAAGTGTCCCAGTTCACGGCCCAGTAACACTCTGCTACTGTGGTGACAAGTGCCTCGGTTCATGGCCCAGTTAGTTTCCTCTACTGCAGTGAAGCACGTCAACAAGGCCCAGTCAAACTCTGTTACCATGATCAGAAGTGTCCGGTTTGCAGTCCAGACAAACTGTTTCCCGTAGTGAAAAGTGTCCTGGTTCACAGCTCAGTAACATTCAGCTACTGTGGTGACAAGTGCCTCAGTTCATGGCTCAGTCACTTTCCTCTACTTGCAGTAAAGCATGTTAACACAGCCGCGGCAAACGTTGTTACCATGGTCAGAAGTGTCCATTGTGCAGTTTAGGCAAACTGTTACTGCAGTGAAAAGTGTCCCAGTTCACAGCCGAATAACACACTGCTACTGTGGTGACAAGTGCCTCAGTTTACAGCCCAGTCAATCTCCACTACTACAGTGAAGCATGTAAACATGGCGCAGTCAAACTCTGTTGCCATGGTCAGAAGTGTCTGGTTTGCAGGCCAAGCAAACTTTGTTACCGCAGTGAAAAGTGTCCCAGTTCATGGCTCAGTAACACTCTGCTTCATGGCCCAGTCAAATTTCTCTACTGCAGTGAAGCATGTTAACACGTCCCAGTCAAACTCTGTTACCATGGTCAGAAGTGTGTGGTTTGCACTCCAGGCAAACTGTTAGCACGGTGGCGATGAGAAGTGTCCCGGTTCACGGCCCAGTAGCAGAGTGGTGACAAGTGCCTGGGTTCACAGCCCAGTCAAATTTCTCTGCTGCAGTGAAGCATGTTAACACGTCCCAGTCAAACACTGTTACCATGGTCAGAAGTGTCCAGTTTGCAGACCAGGGAAACTATGTTACCATGGTGAAAAGTGTCCCGGTTTACAGCCCAGTAACACTCTGCTACTGGTGACAAGTGCCTTAATACACAGCCCAGTCAGTCTCCTCTGCTGCGGTGAAACATGTCAATAACGGCCCAGTCAAACTCTGTTAACATGGCCAAAAATGTCTGGTTCGCAGTCTGGTCACTCTGTTACTGCAGTGAAAAGTTGCCATGACTCTGATTTGCAGCACAATCAAACTCTGATGCTTTCTGCTGTCTCTCAAGCAGGTGGTAAATGAACTAGAATCTAAGTTTCATTGGTCTACCCACTTGGCTCAGTTCTTTTTTGAACGCGCAGTGGAAAAATAGTCTTAGCTGTGCAGAATTACTAACAAAGCCCTCAACCAAAGCCCACACATTTTATCCCCTTGTCTTGATGTCAATACTCAGACCTTTCAATTGTTTCAACTACCTTTGGGCCAAAAGAATTTCAATATGTGCTTTTAGGGATAGTTTGCAAAAGAAGACAGTTAAATCATTATTTATACCAGGAAGCCCTTTAGACAAAGGAAGACCCTTTGATGAATATGATGCTGAGTGTTGAAGCTAAATATACTCCAAAGATTAGCATATCTGCTTTAGGCTAACAGAGACTTTGCATGTATTTTTTCTCACTTTATTAAAAAGTAAAAGCAAGAAAATTCAAATCTCAGAAGTTGTAGAGGAGTCTTCAGACTTGTACATATCAGAGATGGGGACTAGAGTCAGCAGCTCGGACTCGAGTCTCATGTTGACCGAATCGCAGGCTGGCGTTTGAATGATTCTCGACTCAAAATTTGCTACTTGTGAAAACTTTTTATTGTATAAAAACCTAGTTTGATTGACAAAGTGAAGGGCTACATGGAGTAAATGCAGTACTGAAAAGAAAGCGGCAACTTGAAACTGTTGACTAGTATGTAGTTCGGATAGCAAGTATGCTAGCTAGCACACTAGCTGTTGTAGCTGACGTTGACAGCTAATGTAGCTTTGGTAAGTTAACGATCATATTCCTTTAAAGTTTTTGCTACAGCCATTCATGGCCGGGAGTCCAAGAGAGCACCTAATAGGGTTTACTTTTATATTAAATTAGACTAAAATTCTCTACTAAAGACTCAAGACACAATTTCAACTTGTGAATATCTCTGGTACATAAGCAGGCAGATAAACAGCATTTTGTTCAAATTTGTTGTACCATTAGAGCTGGGGTGGATAAGGTGATGATATATATAATATTATTGTCATACAGTCATACGGAAAGTTTGGAATACCCTGGTCAAACTATATCGTCTACAGAGAACACGCTTAATTATGGCATTTCCCTGCCAATTTTAATGCACAATTTCTATTTGACAAGTTTAACATTTTGAAAAAACAAAGTATACAATCTGCTGTAACTTTCGCTCAGGCCACATTATGTATATTGTTTATTATTTTCACAATATGTTAAACTATTTTAAACAATTTGTAAAAGTAGTGTGGAAGTGTGGTCTCTGTAGAGGATGTGCTGAATTATTTCGCTTCAACAAAACGTGTGATTTGATCTGGGGTGCCCAAACTTTTGCATATGACTGTGTATCAGAGGTGAGGCCAGGATGTTTAGAACACTGTACTGCTGCATGCATGAAAAGGGTAAAGAAGAACAGCTTTAGACAAATTATTAAGACCACGTAAACAACAACAACCAGTGTATTTATGTCTTCAGGTATTGTGGTGTTATACACTATATGGCCAAAAATGTGTGGACACTCCTAATTATTCAGCTCAGGGGTTTCAGCTACACTCACTGCTAACAGGTGTGTAAAATTAAATCACATAGTCATGGAATCTCCCTAGACAAACCCTGGCAGTAGAATGGGTCGTACTGAAGAGCTCATTGACTTTAAACATGGCACTGTCATAGGACGCCACCTTCGCAAGTCAACTTTGTGGCAACCGTTTGGGAAAGAACCTTTCCTGTTCCACCATGAAGTGAGTTCCATAAAGACATGGTTTGATGAGTTTAGTGTGGAGGAACTCCAGTGGCCTCCACAGAGCCCTGACCTCAACCCCACTGAACACCTTTGGGATGAACTGGAACATCGACTGCGAACCAGGCCTTCTCGTCCAACATCAGTGCCTGACCTCACAAATGCTCTTTTGACTGAATGGACACAAAATCTGGTGGAAAGCTTTCTCAGAGGAGTGCAGGCTGTTGTAGTTGCAATGGGGTACAACTCCATATTAATGACTATAATTTTTGAATGAGATGTCCAACAAGCTCATATAAGTGTGATGGTCAGGTGTCCACATACTTTTGGCCATATAGTGTATGCCTACCATGTTAGTTTGTGCTGTAAAAGTCGTGTCTCTCTCTCTCTCTCTCTCTCTCTCTCTCTCTCTCTCTCTCTCAGGTGCGCAAGTATCTGTTGATGCTGGATGTTCGTAAGGATCATGTGAAGTTTTGGAGGCCACAGGTTCTGCTGATGGTGGCTAATCCACGGGCCAACATCGGCTTAATCACCTTCATCAACGACATCAAGAAGAGCGGCCTCTACGTACTGGGCCACGTGCAGATAGGAGACCTGGGTAAGAGAGCAAGTGTGATTGCATGTTGGATTGGACATGAGACAAGAAGCATTTATTAACATACAGAAGTTATTAAACGTAATAATAAATAATATATTCTAATAATAATATGGTATTCAGTGTATAGTTCTTCTCCAGTCATCTTCCTTAAGCTGTGATCCCCATTTTTCACTTGACTTCATTCTGTATGTTAATTTTATTATAATTTAGTTCTGGATGTAAATATTATTACAACTTAAATTTTATGTTAATTTTATTACTGTTTCAATCTAGATATAAATTATATTATCATTTCATTCTGGATGTTGATTTTATTATAACTTCATTTTAATAGATCTCTCTTCTAGATGTCTTTCTGGATACCAGTTTTATTATCATTTTTATACTGGATATTAGTATTATTATTAAATCTGTTTCCGGTAATAGTAGTATACCTGAATTCGGGACATTAATTTTATTATACCTTCATTCCGGATATTAATTTTTTTATAACTTCTCTCTAGATGGTAATTTTAGACCTTTATTCTAGACGTTAATTTTATTATAACTTCTTTCTAGATTAATTCTAGATTAATTAGTTTATTTTATTTTATTGTAAGTTCTTTATACATGGAATTTTTTTAGATCTTAGTTCTAGATGTTGATTTTATAATAACTTCATTCTGGATATTAATTTTATTACAACTTCATTCTGAGTATTAATTATTTTATTACAGTTTTTTAGAACTGTTCTAGTTTCATTCTAGAGAAGTTTTTTTATAACTTATTATTTTATGCAACTTTTCAAGTCAGATTAGAATTACGTTCAGCTTTCATTGTTCATGTCTTACAGCTTCCTTTTAATTATTAATAGTATTATTTTGAGTACAGCAATATTTTAGAAACATTTTCTATATTTATCTGGCAAAAATGGTTTATTTTAGTGCAAACAGATGATTCCAGACTTCTGGACAGGGCAGTGTTGTTGCCGCTTGTAACATCTCTCTCTCTCTCTCTCTCGCTCTCTCGCTCTCTCGCTCTAGCCGTCCTCCCCTCTGATCCTCTGCAGTGTCAGTATGACTCGTGGCTGTCTCTGGTGGATCATCTGAACATTAAAGCCTTCGTTAACCTCACTTTAGCCGACTCTGTAAGGCATGGAGTTCGGCATCTGCTCTTCATCTCTGGACTGGGTTAGTGCGCACACACGCAAACACACACCTGCAGGACACCCAACTGGTCAGAATCTGTTTGGCTGTCATGGCAACTGAGGCTGTTTTTGTGTAGCACAACAGTGCGAGTTTACTTGGCTCATTGCCTTCCTGCTTGTAAACAATTTCTTTCATTCTTTTTTTTTTTCCCCACGGCATCTGTATTGTTGTTGTTTTTCGTATTTCTGGCTGGTTTTCTCCTCAGTGTTGGCCATTGCCAGTTCGCATTGACTAAATCTTCTCTGTTGAATGGCAACAAACAATCTGAGGTCAGGAGTCAGCTTAACACATTTGGACTGACCATTGGCCAGTTGAACATAGGGCTATACGCTAAATCCTTTTTTTATTGTTATCACAATATGAGTTTCCACATTAAACGTAGATTTAGAGCGGCGATGACCGAACAGATCAAATTATTTCATAAACACAGCACCACAGAGACGTCATTACATTGCCAGCACAAACCATTAAAAGCGTAAAGAAGGACTGAACCCTACTCTCCCACATAGGGGACCTGTGACTTAACCATTAGGCTAAACAGCCAATCACAAAACCTGTTAAGTAAACTGTGTGGACAAAGATATTGGGACATATACACATTACTCCTACAGGAGCTTTTTAATGACATCCCATGGAGTTGGTTACACCTTTGCAGCTCTAACAGCTTCCACTCTTCTGGGAAGCTTCTACAAGATGTTGGAGAGTCTGTGGGAATTTTTGCCCGTTTATCCAGAAAAGCATTTGTGAGGTCAGACACTGATGTTGGACGAGAGGGTCTGGCTCACAGTCTCTGTTCTAGTTCACCCCAAAGGTGTTTGATGGGGTTGAGGTCAGGGCTCTGTGAGGGCCAATCAAGTTCTTCAAGTTATGGAGCTGCTTTGTGCACTGGGGCTCAGTCATGCTGGAACAGAAAAGGTTCTTCCCCAAACTGTTCCACAAAGTTGGAAGTGTACAATTGTCCAAAATGTCTTGATCTGCTGAAGCATTAAGATTTCCCTTCACTGGAACTAAGGGTTCTAGACCAACCCCTGAAAAACAGCCCCATATCATCATCCCTCCTCCACCAAACTCTACAGCTGGCACAGTGCAGTCAGGCAGGTAACGTTCTCCTGGCATTCGACAAACCCAGACTCGTCCATCAGACTGACCGATAGAGAAGTGTGATGCGTCGAGTCCAGTGGTGACTGCTTCACAGCACTTCATCTGACGCTTGGCATCGTGCTTGGTGATGCAAGGCTTGCATGCAGCTGCTCAGCCATAGAAACCCTGCCATGAAGTTCCCAGAGCACAGTTTCTGTGCTGATGTTGAGGCCAGAGGAGGTTTAGAACTCTGCAGTTATTGATCAGCAGAGTGTTGGTGACTTTTATGCACTATGTGCTTCAGCACTCGGTGACCCGCTCTGTAACTTTACGTGGTCTGACACTTCGTTGCTGAGGTTCCTAAACACTTCCACTTTTTGATAATACCACTCACAGTTGATAGTGGAATATCTAGGAGGGAAGAAATTTCGCAAATGGACAACGGCAGCATCCTATTACTGTACCATGCTCAAATTCAGTGAGCTCTTTAAAACGACCCATTCTTTCACTAAAGGTTGTAAAGGCAGACTGCATGGCTGGGTGCTTGATTTTATACACCTGTGGCAATGGGACTGAATGAAACACCTGAATTCAATAATTGAGAGGTGTGTCGCAATACTTTTGTCCATATAGTGTCCATATATTGTGTGAAACCGATCCCTCACAGCACTCTCTCAATAAGAGAAATTACCAGTTAATGTAGCTAATAAAAAAACATCTTTGTTCACCTCCTGCTCCACCCTTCATTTATTTCATTTCCAGTCAAAATGTATGTGATTAATTTTGATATTTCTGAAAAGATATAATATAATACATTTGCATAATAAAGAGAAATGTCAAAAAAACACAGAAAAAAGAGAAGATTCCAAAACAGAAAAATGATTAAAAGACAAAGAGAAAACGGGACTCCTAACAACCACCTGCAAGTGGCAACTCATCGCTGGGTTTAAAGGAACGAGAAGCTGTCATGAAGCCCTTACCAAGAAAAAGAAAGAAAATTTGCAAATCAACAAAAAGAAGCTACTGGTCGACTGGCCACCCCAGAGTCCAGACCTCAACGTCACTGCATGTGTTTGGGATTATTTGGCTCATGAGAAGAAGAAAATACAACAACTTCTAAGGCTGAACTTGTGGGAAAATATCCCTGCAGATTTTCTTGATAAACTGAAAGCAAGACTTCTGAAAAGAATGGAAGCTGTAATAAACGCTGACAATAAATAGATACAATAAGGACAATAAATACTGCAACTTTTTTATGTTTAGTTTTATATTTATTTGTTTTGAATAGCTTGTGTTTATTTGCCATTTGACCACATTTTTTGGATAATAATTTAGTTTGAATTTCTCTACTGATTGTTTCAAGAATAATTTCAAGATCTGATCAAAATCTTAGTATGTTTGAGACATTCATGATGAAAATACCTTTCATTTGTGTTTGTTGTCTTTTGTAGTTGCTGTTGCTGTTGTTGTCGTCATTGTCGTCTTTCTCTTATCAGTTCACTTTATCTCCTTTCACTCAGGTGGGATGAGGCCCAACACGCTGGTTCTTGGTTTCTACGACAACCTCCCTCCTCAGGACCAACTCCAGGACCGCTCATTCCACTCAGATCGATCCCTGGATGACCCCGCCCTGGCTGAGGACCAGGAAGACCCGCTTTTCCACTTCCCGCCTCTCAGAGGGAGCGTTCTGGAGGATAAAAACATAGGCGGGGCTTGGGGCGGGAAAGCCCTGGGCCCTCAGGAGTATGTCTCCATCATCGCAGACGCCGTGAAGATGCTGAAGAACGTGGCGCTGGCACGCTATTTCGGACAGTTTGACCGGCAGCGTGCCCTGCAAAGCCCCGTCTTCGTGGATGTTTGGCCAGTCAACCTCTTGCGCCCGGACAGCAGTTCGTACGTGGACACGTGCTCCCTGTTCCTCCTGCAGCTGGCCTGCATCCTCAACATGACCAGGTCTTGGCAGAAGGCCAAGCTCCGCCTCTTTCTGTGTGTGGAGGCGGGGCGAAGCCTGAAGGGGGCCGAGCAAAAGCTGAGGCTGCTCCTGAAGGAGCTGAGGATGAAGGCGGATATTTACACGGTGCCTTGGGACGAGCAAGTGGCACTGCACTGGCAGAGGCAGCACGTGGGCATGGCCATAGAGGCAGAGCCTGAGAAAGGAGAGAGGGACGGAGTTCAGAAGGAGGCCGAGGAGGAAGTGGAGGAGGAGGAGGAGTACGCGAACAGCTTCCCCAGCAACGCCGTGAGGCTGTCGGACGACTACCTGCACGCCGTCAACCGGCTGATCCTGGACCAACCCCGCCCCCCGCCTGCCGTGCGCTTCTTGTATTTGCCCCGACCACCTGCCGACACCAGACGCTACCACAACTACCTGCACCAGCTGGAGCTGCTGAGCCGAGACCTTGGGCCCACCCTGCTGATCCACGGGGTCACCCCTGTCATCACCACTGACCTTTGAAATGTGAACCAAGAACACTCCTTTTCCTTTTTTTCCCTACTCCTCCATTCCTCCTGCCTTTCCAGAAACAGTCTGGGCACTGCAAAAACAAATGATATCCCAGCAAATCAAAACATCTCGAATGTAGGCGATACGTGGCCATGTGTAAAGGTTTTGGCGCCTCTAGTCAAATGATGTTTTGTTGATTTTCTAAGTGAAAATAAGTGAAAACATCCTCAGAACACACTTGTGCACATTTCAATGCACAATTACTTTGAATTTAACATACTGAGAAATATTGCATGTGGCCTGTGCAAAAATGATGGCACATTTTATAAAGAAAAATGCTAAAATATAGTGTCCATGTGAGTGTATATGTATAAGTAGTAATTTCAAAGCGTTGGATCCGATTTCGCGCGAGTTTTTCAGACTACGTTATACATCTTTACATATTAACGTCAGGCTCAGAAAGAAGGTCCTGCTCAATTTTTAGGTCTCAAAAATCAACGTTATACCGATGAACATTTAATGACAACAATAGATCGGTCAACTACATCCTCATCCTCCACCTGCAATCAAGTTTTGAGTTCTCGTTGAATTTTCTTTGAACACACTTGTAAACTTCTGATTGATTTATTTATGGAGGTCTGTAGCACAACCGACGTTATGAGCTGTTCTTTTGCACGTTGTGTGCAGTTACACATTTCAACCAGAGAGGTCGCCAAATCCCCCAAACTTACTCATAAACCTAGCAAATAAATAGAAATTGTGGACTAGAATGTTCCATATTTAAGCTAGTAACTTATTTCACTCAGAAAGCCGACAAATCATGTAATTCGACCAGGGGTGTTCAAACTTTACGCAGTATCTCTGATTCAGAAAAAAACATTTTTATACAGTTTACAAACACCTTTACTTATATAAAGTAATCTTATCAATAAAAATTATCCTACTGCACTGGCTAATACTTTGAATTCCATTAAGTATTATTTATTGAAAGAATTATTATGAAAATGACCTACATTGGCAGAAATTGATGTTATTACTTAAAGTAGGTAAAAGTATCTAGAAATCCTGAATGTTTGATTTATACAGATTGATTTATTTAGATATTTAGATACATTAGATATAGAAGTACATTCAAGATGTTTTTACTGCTGCTTCCATCCTGCATTTAACGGACGAGGGAGGGAAGGTTCTCCGTTGGCCTGCTTTAGTCTGGGTTTTGGAACGCAGAACTGCTTGGTCATTCCTTCATGACAGAAAGAGAGAGGACAATGCGAAGATTAAGAGATTGGTGGTCTGTGATGCCAAATGTTTCACAAGGACGCTAACTATTGGCTTTTCTTAACGTCCCTGGATTATGATGTAAATGTTAGATGTGGATTGCAGCCAACAGTGCCCTCTTCAAATCATTCCCTTTTACTTCATTCCCCATATGCCCTTATAAACAAATTATTTAATCTATTTAATAAATCCCCCGTATGCTCTCAATAACACTCTCAAAACTATATAGATCTACAGAACTACGCAAAAATCAGAGACTAACTTTCGTTTTATTTCCAGCCAAAACAGCCACTGAGTACAAGTTATTCATTTAGCTTTAACGACTAAATATAATACCAAATCTCTCAGTCTTGCTTTCAGTTTTCAAAGAAATCTGCAGGGATGTTTTTCCACACCTCCAAAAGTTCAGTCTTACAAGTTGGTTGATCATTTTCTGAAGTAATTAAACACATTCAGTGATGTTGAGGTCTGGACTCTGGGGTGGTCAGTCCATTGTTTACATGGATTGCAAAGGTGTCTCTCAAACAAAGCTTAAGGTACTGCTTAGGGAGTCACCAGGTCTTCCAGGTGGTTGTTAGGAGTCCCATTCTCTCTGGTAATGTTAAGTCCATTTTTGGAAACTTCTCTTGAAAATTGAATAACTTGTACTTAATGGCCTTTGCACTGCACTATATATATATATATATATATATATATATATATATATATATATATATATATATATATAAAAAAAACCTCGTATCTCCAAAATAGTAACTTTACTAGAGAAGGAAAAAACATCCTTTACGTTTAATGGAAGTCAACAATGTAAAGGGCAATAGGTATTTTCACATTATGTCAAAAACTAAAAAATGACAGAAATGGAGAGGTTTTGTTTCGACAGAAGCGATGTATATGTATATGTGTATAGGTGATTGATGAGTTGATGTATGAACAAGAAACTGAACTGTCCCACACAGAATCCCCAATTTCAATTCACTCTTGGTGTTTGATGTATCCTTATATAAGTAAACATGGTACATGTTAAGACCATAATGGGGATTTTGCTGTGTATGTAATGTCAGAGGTACACAAACTGGACAGAACTTCAGCTGTCCTCTACAGGTACAGTATTAAGACAGTGTTTCCCCATCAGAACACGGTCAGTGTACCTCCAACAATCACCTGCCAGCACTAGCCGGCTTTTCCAATCAGAGAAGTGAAATTGTTATTTATGTGCTGTATTTATTTCTTTATTAAGTGAGTGAATCTGCAGTTGCAGATGACTGGTGGAAAAAATTAGGCAATCTTCAGCAAGACCAAACCCCCCGCCGGTGCAGTTTTACCCCTTGAGTAATTTGCCGCCATGTCACAGTCACGTGACTGAGCTTTTGCACATTATTATTATTAATAATTAGATATAAAAGTTTGAGAATTTTTAATTGCAGATCCGTGAACCATTTCCATTTAAAAACTGTTAATGTACCGCACTGCTGTAATCACAACATTGCAAATATGGCAGTCCAAATTTTGTCCTAGGACTCAGCCCAAAACATCAATTTCGGGATAGTTCCACCTCTGAAATCTGATTGGCTGAATCAGAAGCCATTCTAAACTACTTGATATAGGCACACTTATGAGCGCACACAGCAACTGAACTTTATATTAATGCACCGAGATATTGAAACGTGTCTCTTGTATGGACCGTGAATGTAGTACTGATAGGTGAGGTCGAGCAAATATATGTAATAAACGTATTAAACATACCCTACATAAGAGGCTAATTTTGTTTAAACTGAATATGTTCATGATAAAGTGACCAATAACTGAAAAGCTGACAAAAATATAGTTGTGTTTGGTGTGAGGCCCCCACCACTGTAGACAGGGGTTCGATTCCCCGCCCGGACAGGCATACTAAGTTATACCATTGAGTTTTTGGGCTAGACTCCTAACGCTACATTCCTCTACATCTGTAACGTTCCAATTGTAAGTCGCTCTAAATACAAACGTCTGCCGAATGTATGAATGTACGAAATGTACAAATATATAATGATGGGCTAATGAAAGCTCCATATTCTGAACTTCTAAACTCATTACTAGCTGAAGTTACAAACATAAACGCCAAGACCAGAGCTAGCTTTGTCTCTGTGGACCTCAGTAGGTGATGGAAGTCGCCGCCATCCACCATGTCCGCCTTCTTATTTTGTGTGGTTTCCCTATCACACTTTCTCTCAGAGAACATGGACTGCCTTATAACTTGCATAAGTTTGCTTTCCATACTGTACACTGTAGTCACTGTAGTGCAGTCGTCCTTTCAAAAACTGGTCCCACTATTTTAGCAGTGCTCTTTATTTTTTTAGTAGGCCTATCCAGCCCAAGCAATTGCCTGTTGAGCCCTGAACTCAAAAACATTTCTCAACTTGAATGATAAACCTGCCTACTCGGATAGGAACTCTTGTTTATTGCAAGTAAAAAAAATAATATTAATGTTTTGAACTGAAACGGTTAATTAGCTAGTCAGTTATATGCCCAATGCCAAAGTTACTAAAGCTGCACTAAATACAGGCTAAAATATGGGGTGCGTGCATCGCTGAGTTTGTAAAGACTGAAATAATTTAAAGGTGTTGTCGGAGTTTTAGGCCACATCATACATCTTTGTGTTAACGACACTCACACAGGCTCTAAAAGAAGGTCCAGCTCGATGTTCAGGTCTCAAATGCAAAGTCAAGTCTTTGTTAAATTCTCATCAGTTTCATCCACTCGGGGAAGAGGTCCGAATCACAACTTATGTTACAATGCAGTTACACTTTTCCACCAGAGAGGTCTCCAAATCCCCAAAACGTACATAGTGTATGTAATAGTAATACTGATGGTCGTAGCCGACAAATTATTGTTAATCTAAGTGTCTCACTTGGTGAGTTTATAGGTTATCATCTCAGTCACAAGTTGGCGAGTTCACTTTAAATAAATAAATATATAAATAAATAGACGTGAACCGACGAGAAGCTTTCTGATGGTACTTTGGAGGCCTTGTATCATGGTGCCTTTAATACTGTAAGTACTGCTCACCAATACAATTCAGTGAGATTCTGAGCGTCTACGGTCCATTTATTACGAAATGTTCATGCAGTGTAAACGGCAAACAGTGTAAATGGTAAAAAAAATAAAAGCCACAGGAATTGGAACTAACAAGAACTGACATTGCAACTTTTACGAAGTTGTGAAAGATATTTAGTTTGAAGTGTTTCTTGATGATTTGTGAAAAGTCTGAAATGTTGGTTCTCCTTATTTCCATGATGTAACTCTATAACTAAGTATGGTTCTGCCCTGGCGTGTCACGACCCTGAAATTTTAGCTAAATAATTGCAAACAATTCAAAGCAAAAAACTTCGGTCTGTTTTTGTTCGCTATATGAAGCTGTAAGAGGCAGACCTAAAGTGGCCAAAGTGGCCGATCAGCCATCTTGCTTCCTAGCACAAATAAACTCAAGCTCAAATAAACATTACTCACCGCTGCCCTCTAGAGATCCAGAGTTGTTTTATTTTAAAAAGACCAATAACATGTTTCAACAAATGCAGTTTCTGTTTTATTTACATACATTTGCCTCAAGCCTTCTGTGTAAAACTAATTCTGTTTGTGATGTAAACATTCGATTGTGAAAGCTAAAAACAGCAGAATAAATTTGCAGCTTTATTAATTGTGATCGGGGAATTATATGGTAGCTGTGATGGGCCTAGTCATGGCATCTAAGCTTA